ATGTCCGGGGTAGGTCCAGGGATAGACCGGAGGGAAGAGAGAGACCAAGAAATACAGATATAAAAGGACAGAGAAGGAACGACAAGTGTACTACCAGGCACATGTGTTTTACTATATCAGATGCACATGACGCAGCATCACCACTGCGTGTAGGCACGATGCCCAGGACCACAAGAGAACGGACAAATTCCCACGGTCCTCAAAAAGGGCATTTCTCTGGGTGACCCCGACCTTTCACAGGAGGCCATCCTACGCTCAGCTGTAACCCAAGATTCGGAGAAATCTCACATCCGGCCTGCGCACGTACGTGTTACCTGTAGGTCACATCTGACGTCTGTAAACGTTCGCGTTACCGATCCACCCACACCATCACGGCACGCTTCCCGCGCGCTTTACACCTAGTGCGCGCAGGCAAAAATCAGCTTAGCATATCTTCTTACGCAGACTTTCTAGCGGGCAGCGTTTGTTTTTATATGAGCGCGGCTAGAGGGTGGTGTCTTTTCGGAAGGAGAACTGTATCCACCTGACTTTCTCTCCCCAAAAAGAAAACGCCGCGCTCTAGGAGCGCTGGTAGAAACAAAAGCTGTCCGCCGTAGAAAGCCTGCGCAGGAGGCTAGACCTCACATAACCAGGAGGGAATCCGGTAGACATCTAATCAGCAAACCTTTTGGGCACTCTGCCATCCACTCACGCCCACTATACCTGCAGGCTCCTCTCCGATGGGATTATAATTGACATTTTAGCAGACCTACCACACAGGCCACTGCGACCTCCACCGACTGTTGTCGTCAAGGCAACGTAATGTGACGGTACCTCTGGTGGTGTTGTAGGATTTGCGGGTGCACAAGAGGTATTAGTGTGATCGCAAGATTTAAATTATTGTAGTGCCATAACAGCACTGTACATGTCGGACGGTGCCATGGGTACTTTCGTCCTCAAGGATAATTAGATACGCAGTATTCTTCTGGCCAATTCTGTCAAATCTCAACATCTCACACATTCATTCTTCCGTACATTTTGCTAAGGCTGATATAGGCGTATTTTAATAGATCATTAAAATCCATGTGTTCATTTTTAACGGGAAGCTGTCCATGGACATTTATGACTTGAAGCGGAACACTACACAGCCAGTACCTAGAGCAGAAGCGGTCTCTAGCGGAGCGTATCTATACTGCATCTCTGTGTACCGAACTGACCATCCCCACCTTAAAGCTCTATTGTTTTGTTGCAAGCATGTATTTTCACAGCTAACTACATCTCTAAAATGTGTATTTGATTTGACATCAAAGTGAATAAATGTAGGTTGTGGACTGCGATTTTATTTGGTTATGTATACAGCACTATTTGACACGACTTTTCACTTGTCTTCCATACTCTAGATTAAGCGACGTCAACTTTGAGGCTGACGTCAGAAGAGTTAAGTTGTGAAAAATTCACACCTTCACACATAATTCTAACCTTTCCGTTGAAATGCACATGTATTGTGAAGTTTATTCAGTTGGTATGAATAATTAGACACTTTTAACATTTTAAAAAACTTTATTCAAACGATAGTCTATTTACTGGTACTCGTATGTAGCAAAGCTTTGCTCTTGATTGACAACACGTTTTCAACTTGCCTCTAAGCCTCCAAGAAGATATTGTATCATCTTTGGTTTTGTAGAATATAGCAATGTCTGAACACATAAAGTGTATAAATACAAAGACTGGGTTCAAAAGTCTCACTGTTCACATTAAATTCGGTACATATTTATACAAATGTATAACAAATATATATATATATATATAATTAGATATATATAGGGTCGCTATCGTCGTTTCATCGGTGACACATTCATGCGTTACACGATTTCGTCGTTTCAAGATTTCATTGCAAGATAACAAAGCAGCCTATGAATATCAAAATATTCATATAGATGCATAAACGCATTCAGCAAATAATTGCATGATACCCATGCATGATGTACATGTCTATGAAATAAATACGTTTCAAGTACGCAGTACATTCTAATGCAGCATGAACCAGCATGCATGCCATTCAGTCACATATCATATTGCGATAAATTCAATTTTGTCGTCTATTTCCTATAAAAGACGTGGCCCGATACAGGCGTCTCTCTTAGTTACATCAAGTTGATCAACCTCCTTGGTGACATGTCATATACAGGTACGAAGTCTACACCTTCATCAAACATACCGATGGAGCGAATGCTTTCTATTCCAATCTCCGTATACTTTTACCCTCTTTAAGAAGTAATTGAGTCCACACCACTTACACTTCTTTCCTAACGTTGTCTTGCGCCCTCTTTGCGTGAACGTACTGCCTCTGTCCTGTGTCGTCGCCACGTTTTTGGACGATAGTGGAGATAAGATCCAGGGCATCATACGTTTCGGACGAGCCGTTCTCTGTTCGGAGATCTGTGATGGGGGCAGAAACCTTGACGCCATCCTGTGTCCGCGGTGAACTGGCCGAGTCGTTCTCTGTTCGGAGATCTGTGAGGGGAGCAGAAGCCTCGGCGCCATCCGGCTGTTTCCGCGGTGAACAGGCCGTGAGCGACGCCGGACTCGCTGAAGGATGACTTCGGCAGCGCTTCGCTGGTCTTCTTCTCTTTCGTACCCTCCGTTTGGGTCTGCCTGTGCGTTCTCGTTGGGTCCCAAGTCGTCTGTTTCCCCAAAGTTGGTGTGCTGCAGTAGGATACCCACTTTGCGAGGTAGACGGGCTCGGAGATCGGCTTCTTGTCGGTCAAACGCATCCGTATCACTGTTTTGGCTCAAGCTTTCGCTTACTACACGCACAGGGAAGGAAAGTAAGTTTTCAATTCGTAGCTTGATCATGTATCGTGTGTAGACGTACGGACGTCGTAGAAAGGAGTCTCCTTCCACCATTTACTATAGATCATACACAATTTCCTTTGTGTATTTTTCCTTTTGTTAATTACTGAGAAAATCTTGTTCTCATTTGTTTCTATGTTGTTGCTCCTTGCCAACAATCCGTATAACAAGATGAAACAAAGACATACTGCGGAGTAAGCTAAGCTTCGGAAACACACCAAATCGGTACAAGGAAGCTAAAATACGTATACACATGGTACACTGACAAAGCTTATAGTTTGTACTTATATAGTACCAAGGAACTTACCGGGCCTGCTAAATGCACATCCCACCACCATGAACAGCACCGTCACGACAGAGTAAAGTCTAAGAGTCGTCATTCCCTCTTCCGTAGATGTTTGAAAATGCGGTAGATGCAGCTTCGAACTTGTGGCTACTTTCTCCTTCTCTAGGATCAAGCAATCGTTGCGAGTTTTTCTCTCTTGCCTGCTTCTGTCATTCTGGTCATGAAGCCGTCGCTGACAGGATTTTATACCTTGAGTCTCACAGGAGGCGCCATTTAATCGACCTTCTGAGAATTCTTCCCGCAGCGAATGACGTATGGATACCATCGTCACAAAACTCGACATTTTTAGGGGCTGGACAAGCTTCAAATTCGTTATTTTCCGTCAAAAGCCGACTCCACTCTATTAGCCGAGCGTGACGTCATCACGGCGCACGACTGTGGTCTGTGGGTCTGTGACGCCTGTACTCAATGTTCTGAGAAACAACGTTAACTACCACGAGGGATTTGTAAAAGGTCACACGACCAGAAATAGAAAAGAAAATGATTCAACCCTATTGTGTCGGACCGTTCCAGCCGGCACCAAGCTATTGTCATGTGCTATACCCGGCGATACAGAACATTGAGCTCCTCGTCAGAAACGGCGCTTTTGTTACTTTTCTAAACTTACTCATCCTTTGTGGTCCCCAAGTGACGTTCTTCCCGATGAAGTACTGTTCTTTTTGTCGCTGGTCCAATGATTCAAGGGTAAAGAGTGGCTAGTAATTCTGACGACCACGAATGCTGTGCAAGAAGTCCTACGGTAATCTTACATTTCTTTCTTTCGCAAACGATTACCATAACACAACTTCACAAGAAGTACCCACAGCGTTTAATCGTGCACACTTCCTTTTATATTGCCTGACTCCACAAATTGAGTGCAGTTGGTAGCTCCGTGCATGTGCACCATTAGAGACATTGCAACACAGAAAAATGACAAACACTGACATAACTCCCGATCGATTCATCTTTTGAATGGACAAAAAGAGTTTGATATTAAAAAGTGCCTTCGAAAGGTGCACAGAAACATATGGATCGAATCTGCACATAGACCTCTGGATTTCACTCAATTGAAATTGAGTATCTTTCGAGCGTTGCGTAGCGAATCCGGTGTCCTACCATATAAGGGCGTCATCATGAGCAATACTACGGTACTCCCCTGTATTGACAGGTACATATGTACTAGTATCACCACTGACCCAAGGGACTCCTAGCATAACGTAATGTTTGTATGTTACAGGTATCTAGATAGTAGCCCCAGGCACCTTTTGTATATTGTGGATTGGTGGACTTAACCATGCAAAGAGGTTCTATACAATTACAACCGTGTGTTTTCATGGCATCTGCAAGTTTAGTCAATTATCTGCAAAAGCATTTACTTCATAACTGACAAAGAAAAATACAGAAGATTATGGGCGATCAGTCGAACACCAATTCGTCAATAGTTTAGAATTGACCCACTGTGGATTCGACAGTCTCCACCAGGCTCCTTTGCAAGCTGGATAAATAGTCGAAATCGACCTGAACGGGACATATACAATATATATTGGCCAGGGGAGTTAGCCGGCCATGGTGGGACAGTAGTCTGGTGGGGACCAGAATCGACTTTGAATCGACCCACCAATGAGTTGAAAAACCGGATTGTACCATTACCCACTGGAAGGTGGTGTCACAAAAAAGGTTGCTATTTGTTTTTCAAGATCCTTCATTTTGTCACGGGATCAGGGCAAGGCAAAACGTTATTGAAGTTTGAACACGAATTTCATGTATCCCCTTTCTTGCAATAGGTGAGTACGTGAGGCGTACAGTTTTCAGCATTAGAATGGAACATTCCTCTCGACACTGAGGTAATCAATACATCAGCGGCCCGGGTGTCTTCACCGGGACTACACCTGAGTAACTGTTTAGTATCGTGAGTTTCTTTGCTTTGACAAGTTCGACAAGATAAACATACCTGGACATTGCCCTTCTGGTAAGTCCTCTTATCGTGCTACGTTACGTGAGTAAGATATTGGGCTGAATTAATACAGCTTGTTGAGCGTACGTGTGCATCAAAATGAATCGATTTTAGGAGCTTCGCCCCCCACCCCACATTCCACGGAAATCGCCCGGTGGGGTAAACTTGTAGAACAACGATGATGTTCACGCAAGACATGTGGAGTTGTTTAACTCTAGTCAAATACTCATTGAACTGACTTTCCTGTACATGACAGATGTGGGCCAGTAAATGCTTAGCCGACTGTCGTGGCACGAACTATTCGATAAGCCTTGAAATGAAATAAAATAGGACCTATTTTTATAATGCTATCTACATGTGTGGGATAGCAGGTGCAATGAATAACCCCCTTTCGGCAGAAGTCACTACACATGTCATAGTGAAAAGATATGCCCAATGCATATCATACTTGATTGTAGTGACTCGAAATTATAAAAGCGTCTAGAAAGGACGACTTATGCACAATACCAAAGAGTACATTGTGTATAATTGAATGGCAATGGCAGTTACCCAGGCGTAGAGATGGATTAATAAATTATGAAACGTCACGGGACTACAATCGCCACAAACTGACAAGACAAAACAGGAAACTGCCAATCAAACGAGAAACAAGAAAAGAATTTCTCATAAAGAATGAATTTCCGTGTAAAAGCAACCGTTGATATTAAGCTTTGCAATTTTGTTTTACGTCGAAGAAATAAGAGAGGCTTTGAAACTTTTCAAGATAGACGCCGGCCGAAGTGCTGCTAATGAAGTATACTTGCTAGTATATTAACTAGAACGTGGGCCTCACGAGAACACAGCTGCTACCAAATCGTTTTCACATCGATAATTTCTAAGCTGCTTATCCATTAAATTAGAAGGAAATATTGTTAACTCCATCCATTATATATGAGGCTCAGACAAACTGCTAACTTATTCATCATTGGTCCTTACCATAATGTTGTTATTTCTAAACTTGTTATCAGTCTGCAAATCGTTTTCAGGAAGACATACGTCTTCATCGGGTAAAGCATATTTGGTCACCAACAGTAATAGATATGAAAGAATATTAGCGCAACCATCCTGAATTCCATTATGCACAATACACTACCAGGTGTAGAAATGTTACCTGTATATGTGAATTTGATGGAAAAACTGAAAAACATGTAACATAATGCCATCATAGTGGAAAATATTGTATATTGATTTGTAAATGTCATTCGCGAATTCACGTAGATAATCCATACTACATGTAGTAATACGCTTTAGCGCAAAAGTAGAACGGAATGATTTTTTAATCGTCAAGATAAACCCATAGCTCAGTTAGTCACCCCCAAACAATACCTGGGAGTACTAGGAAATCCAGGATTCCGAAGGACGACCGTTGATGTGAAGTGCCATCTATGGAGGTACTCGATCTCTGAACTCTAGTTATAGAATAACAATAAGTCGTGTGCAAGGTACTTGTGCTTAGATTGGAGTTGTTGCCTACCGGCTCAAAGGTCGAAGTAGTCTTTAAGCTTTGTTTAGCTAAATGTATGAGGCGGTGACATGAGCGGGTTCTATGGTGTAATGGTTAGCACTCTGGACTCTGAATCCAGCGATCCGAGTTCAAATCTCGGTAGAACCTGATTACTTTTGCCATTTTTTTGTCGAAACCTAGCTTCTCATCCATTATTTTCAGCAGCTGATGTGCAGCTGTGTATCGCCATTACTCTTGTTGGAATAATTTTTAACGGTTCTCTTTGCCGCTGGGTAGATTTACATTGCGAATGCCCTGCATATTTCCTGACCCACCGAATGGGTTTACTTACTACTATACTAGTAGAAAGTTCGACCCGAGGCCCCCCAGTGGTTTTATTTAGAGCCGTGAACTGACTGACAGCACCAAACGGACGGGCTCACGACAGTCTTGTCATAACACAGTCAATACTATAGTCTTCATAATTTGATTTAAGTCGACAATTTCAATCTTCTCAAATCGCAAATCCGCCGGATTGACCGTAGAACTGAGAATGACGCAACCGCCACCGTGTGTTCCATATTGGTGATCTATTAAGATTATTAACTCAGGCACGTGAATTCCTCGAGGTCAAAAATTGGCTTCTCAGATCCGGTCCACTACAGATAACCTTTTGCGATCTCAAATGAGATGTAACGTTACAGACAGAAATAGAGGATGTGAACTTGACTCTAGGCGATTGACAGATCTCATGCTTGTCACAGAAAAAGAAAACTACTCCAGCACTGATGGCAGAGACAGCACAGGAAAATGGCCCTGTCAGGTACAGGAATGGATACCGCTTGGTTGACGTCTCCGACAGGGAAGCGAAACGACGTAAGGAGTGTTCAGGTGAGTTTAGGATTTATGATACACTGACAGTCAGTGTGTGTCAGTCAATGTCAACGGTTCAGCCACCTGAATAGTCACTCTCGATGGGTTGGATGGGTAAGTCATGTTAGAATGCTAAGCTGTGATTGTGCCCTGTATAAATGGTGCAGCACATAGTTCGGTGGTTCTGCAAGTTGAAAGATTTAAAGAAACGGAAATACGTTAACCTTTAAGAGTCAAGAGATGAGTGACCGAGACGGAATGACCTTTCCAGGACCCCAGTCCGACCTTTGAGGTCTGTTCCGTGCCGGGGGTCACTCTACGAATAACGCTGGACGCAAGAATGCGTAGCATGGACGGCATGCAGTCTGGCTACGTCATGACAAGTCATTAATGACGTCCGGTTTTCAAATTTGCATACGGACGTTGTTCTTCACCGAATCGGTCTCAGTAGCGTCATTGTTTAGCATAAACTACTTGCTATGCTTGAGTGGCTGACATTTTTTTCTTTTGTTCGCGCGTATCTACGTCTTGCACGGCATCTCGACGTTATGCTTTTTCAGCAGAAATGGTACACGTATATTACCGAGGAGGTTACAATCCTCAACAGATACAGTGTATATGGCATTGGATTGTTTTGCACGTTTTGGATGCCTTTCTACCGGTACCAGCGGAAAAAAGGCACCAGTGCGTTTTTTTTTCACTGGAGGAATCGTCGCTAGTGACTGTAATAAAGAGATGCGAAAAGCTCTTATAGCGATATCCCATGTTGTTTGTTTACGAATGAAGGTGTGGTGGGATGCAGTCTTCAGGAGCTGCCCCGGTGGAGGACGGCGAACGGCTGGTGTTCACCCTTCATCCGCAACGGCTACATGTACAACCTGTCAACGGCACAGTGCTTCACAACGTAAATATTACAGTATACTTATACACTCTTAGAAATATTATACTGAAAATAGCATATCATGTTCATGTGTCCGAGGGGGGTCGGGTTGAACGAGAAGGAAAAGAACTCAAGGGAGAGTGATCGGAACACTATGATTGTGTGGCTGCGTATGCCTGATCCAAAACATACTCACTCAGTAGTTCGAAGAATTGACATTGATGTGGAAATGTATATCAATAAACAAACATATAATGCACCTTACAGCCCTTTCCGTTGGACGAACGAGACGTTGAATTTCTGGACGTCGTTTCTTGCGGCGGTGTATTTCCTGTGTCACCTGGTAGGCGTCGTTCTTGCACGGGAACGCCAGGATACGTACGACTTCTTGATCCACGCCTGTGTCCTTGTGTCTACTTTAGTAAGTATGAGAAAATGAGCCTTCCTATCCATCAACGGTCCTTTAGTTCTCCAAATGCTTTTCCAGTGATTATAAAGCACCCATTCACTGACCAAGTCGAAAGGTACGTACGTACTTTTCTGTTAACACCCTTTCCTATTGACAACCTGTCCCCAGCCGTGTTGCTTTAGTTCTTCTGCCTGGCACCTCTTCATCAACCATCACAGCGAGAGAGCGGCGCGGCTAGCGAACGTGGCGGATATCCTGGGGGTGTGGGTAGCGGGAGCAGGTATCTCTGTTCCTGTGATCGCCTACGGCTTGTACTGTTATCAGGTGAGCAGCAGGGGTGCCATTGATTCCATACATGTCGCCTCCGAATCGCTGAGTTAAGCCCCGCTAAACTGTGAAGTTTTCTCGTCATCACTAATGAAAGGTAGCGAATGCTGTCTGAAACGTTTTACTGTTGAACAGAGAATGTACCCAGTTGCTTCGTTTATTCTGTATTTATATACGTGATGTTCTACCTTCATTTCTTCACCGACCAGCGGAAAAAAGATTGTTGACAACATCATGCCGTCTTTCCATAGGGTTACGGCAGGCTGTACCTGTCCGGCCTAGCCGCGCTCCTATTGGTGCTCATCTTCTGTACAGTGTCCGGTATGAAGTCTCATCCCTTCCGACTATTCCAAGCCACGCTCATGCACTTAACGCCGACCCTCGCCGTATTCCACGTCTGGCTGGTTCTGGATCCAGAGTTCACCAGTGATCTTACCAGCGTAACGTCTATTTATTATCAATAACACGTAGTTCTCTGAAAATAAGATTTGCGACACATAGACTGCGATTCATGAATTTTAGCAGATCACTCAACGAATTTCATAGACAACGATTTTTTGTGTGGAAAGGGGACCTCAGTACGTGTGCCATGGCTTTTATACTGTATTCTAATGTCAGGGTCGGAAGTACCTTCTATTGTCACCATCGGAAGTGCCTTCTATTAGACATGAATAGACCGCTGACACTTTTCTGTACCCACTCTTCCATAGGTTGTTTGGAACAAGTGGATCTCCACCTACATGGTGCTCTTTCCATTCATGTTGGCAACATACACGGTCAAGTTTCCGGAGAGGTTTTGGCCAGGTAATGTCTTCTTGTGTCAGCCTGAATGTAGTTTCTGTTCAATGAACAACTTGGCAATCCGTCGCCCTAGAGTCCTGTGAATATTGAGTAAATATTTCTAATACACATTATCATGTTGTTGTTGTTTTTTTTTACAGGAAGATTTGATTACATAGGGCAAAGTCACCAGTTGTGGCATTGCCTGTACATCTACGCATTGTACTGCTGGCACGGTGCATGCTGGGAGTTTGCCGATGTGAGGAGGACACACCCCTGTCACGCTAGCCAATCATAGACTTCCATCAATGGCATCTTTAGCTGTAAGATTTGTAACACTTTGTAGTTTGTACCTTGATGACAATCACTATTTCTCATGGATAATGGTGGAAAATAGAGGCTGGTGCATTTGTGTACTAAGTCTCTAATGCTGCTATTTTGAACAACAGCCTTCCTCAGTTTAGCCTACCTGGCCGGATGGCTCTAAGAATCAGGCTTTTGGGGGGCTTGTAATGTGCTTCTTTCCTCATGGCATATCAGTTCTCTGTATTTGGTTTCCTGCAGGCTGCATCAGTCTATGGAGTAAGGAGAACTGATATATCAGAAAAAGGCACATTATGTATACACAATGTATAAAGTGGACTGCTGCTTAGTAAGCACATGTTTATGTATATACTTGTACCTGGTGCCTGGCTATACTTATGGCTACCTCAAGTTTTGTATAGAATATATCAAAGCAAAGACTGTTAGAAGTTTCTGCACTTTATTGGTACCGCAGTGCTCTGATGGGTGTGCAAGGGAATTCTTCCCTAACATTTCTGGTTACAATTTTGCAAGTTAAAGCTTTCCACTCATTCAAGGGAAGAGATTTTCCATCCCTTGGCTGTATAGTAGTGATGATATATAATGGAGTACAAAAATGTATCAGAAACAAACACAAAGGTAACAAACACCAATGTAATCTCTACATCAATACATGTATGATTTCATATCAGTTTGGACAATGGTTAATGTTTGTAGTACTAGTGACACATCAACCACCTGGCACCACTTTTGCTTCAAAGGAAAGACACTCAGAAAACACATCAATATATAATAACCATGCAAACAGATTTCTTTTTAAAGAACCTCTACTGACTCAATAATAAAGTGCAGATGTTGTAGACATTATGTCTTTGAGTCTGTGTAACAAACTTACAAAATGTATAAGTAGACAAAACTTGTAGTAGACGCACACAGAATAAATGGTGTTGCATACCATATTGGCAAGTTTTGGAGACAGTACCAGTATAGTTGTGACACATAAAAAGATAATCTGTGGACCCCAACAATTATCTGGCATGAGAGAAGTCAATTTGTCACCAAAACATTTTTGCTATCACTTTTAAATCATGTCATTCATTTTTTTCAATACTACCTAGTGCAAATTCAAATTCACGTTAAGATTATGAAAGCTCCGATGGTCGTCATTCTGGTTTCATCGGGTCAGGACCGGCTTGCTTTTTGGAACCCGAGACAATGTCGTCAATTCGAAGGAGCAAAATCGCCGTCTGTGAAAAAACAAGACAATGAAAATCTTTTCAACATAGACTCATAGAACAGAATTCTTCTTAAATATCATAAACATAAACATTTATTTAGGAAAACGTACAACTCATCTACATTGGAATTTATCTGCAACAAAGCCAAGTTCAAAGGTGATATTATGGAAAATAAGTAAATGATGTAATAACTTGTCACTTGGTAGTCGCATCCCCTTTCCATTTAAGGATACAACCAGAGAGACCTGACAAATATTTGACAGAATGACAGACTGCTCAACTTATTTCATAGATGAAGAACTTATTTTTCGCTTAGTGATTGCCGTCTAGGGCAAAAGAAGGCCTTACACAATATTATCCTTACCTCGACGGCAGTTTTGTAGACCTGTGCCTTGACGGCGTAAGGTTCCCAGATGCCCAGTTCCTCCATGTCCTGGATGTTGCCCGTCTCTCCATTGATCCCCCAGTTCTTGTTCCCTGCTGTGGCATGCTTAGCCTTTATGGGGGGAGGGGGAGGGGAATAAAAGTTATTTAATTAGCACAACCACAGTTGTGGTGAAGAACTGTAATCTTAACTGTTAGTGATACTTTGTTTGTGGTATGTATTGTTCTACCAGTGATCTTAATATGCACATGCACGCACACACTTTCTGTATACTTTTATGTACAAATACTGAATTTACAATCTGGCTGGCCTATCCTATGTGACTTGATAATGTAATCCACCCTCCCCTAAACTACCTGAGCATGTACAAATACTGTGTCCAGACATACCCTGAGCTGTGTGAGTGTTCTGATAGTGTTGCCTCCACAGTTCTGGATGAGTGTGCTGGGCACCACCTCCAGGGCCTGGGCCACTGCCATGTACGGCTTCTGCTGGATGCCCTGGATGGACTTGGCTTTCTCATTCAGAATCTGCAATGTGAGAGTATATACGTAAACATACTAAACATATCACAGAGGTAAGGAGAGAGACTAAATATACTCAGGGATCAAAATGCATACGCACTTTTGTGTACCCAAAATCTGTGCAACTTTTTGGACTGTGGGTGCACTGGCACACCAAGATATGTTTGTAGGGTTACATGAACCTTTTCTCGTGAACAAAGGCTGGAATTGCTTCATTACTCCTCAACTCAAATATCAGCAGTGTTAACAGTAGGAAACATTTTCAGTTTGATTCCACCAGGACAAGTAGAGTGTCTCACGTGAGCGAGGGCCATCTCGGCCGCGCCGCCGCCTGGTACGAGGCGGGGGTCCAGCATCACGTTGCGAGCGACCTGCATGGCGTCCTGCAGGTTACGCTCCACCTCGTTCAGCACGTCCTTCGACGCTCCGCGCAACAAGATGGTGCAAGCCTGGGGAGAGATCACAGAAATTCATTATCATCTTCAACAGAAGACTCGTTTACCAAAACCAATGCAAAATATTCCTATCATAGTCAAACATCTGGCACCATCAAAAGTTCATAAGGTAAAAGGAAAGGCAGCATTATTTTATCTTCTCCCTTGTCTATTCAGGAAAAAAGATTCAGAAAACTGACCTTTGGATCCTTGCACTCTGTAATGAAGGTGAAATATTCATCTCCAAACTTCTTAATCTCAAACAGACCAGCTCCTGTTCCAACATCTTCTTCCCTCAGCTCATCTGTGCGGTTCAGAATGTTGGCTCCACAGGCCCTAGGGGAGGACAGGTAGGTTTGTATCACAAATCTGACATTGGTATAGTGTATAGTTGCTTCATGTATGTATTCCTCATGCTGCAGCCTTTTCATTACCTCCTGTATGGAGGTTTTGTTTATGGTGTCTGTGTGTTTGCTTGTGTTTTGGTAGTTATTTCTACACGCTAGGCAGAACATTTTAAAATGTCCACTCTCTGATCTTACCTGGCAATACGGTTGTTGTCCGTCTTACGGATGCGGCGGATGGCGGTGATGTTGTTCTTCACGAGGTAATGTTGAGCGAGGTCTGGGGAAACATGAGGAGCAATACATTACTAGTGACAATTTCTTTCAAAAATAACAGGAATACTAGACAAGAATCTATAGCATTGTCAGCCTCTCACTGTGTTTTAATTTTCTAATCAATGCACAGGTTATTAACATGACAATCAACTGGCCTTACCTGAAACCCCCTTCTCTGTAAACACGATGTCGGGTTTCACCCGGATGATATCTTCACAAATCTTCTGAATGTACTCCTCTTCTAACTGCAGGATACGGCTGCAAAGGCACAAAGGTTCACAGAAAGTTAGTTCGTACAGAAGTCTGTATTTTAACTAGAGTATGCTACTAGCACATTGTATGTTTGCATTGAACTTCAAGAGACAAATCAAACGTGACAATATAATGTAAGACAAGATGGATCACTGTTCAAGTCTGTGCCCTACCTAAAGTCCTGCTCGCTAACCAGCTCTATGTCTGTCTGACTCTCCCCCTTCTTGTACTCGAGCGAGCAGTCCAGAAGGACGATACGCGGGTTCTCGATGCGTCTCCGCATCTTGGGATGGGTGACGTCCTTGTTGATCATGATGCCGCTCAGAACGCGGGAGTCCTCAATGGCGCCCCCTGGGATCTGTGTGAGGAACAGCAAGCTTTGAGAAAACACAAGGACATGGTCCAATAAAGGCAGAAAAATGCCTCCACTTTATATTCCCATAGACTCATCCTGAATGTCCATCAATTCGCAGTTCATCCAATGGTAGCATGGCACTTGGTGGCTGCATGTTCGTGAAATATTTGCATGTTTCTACGTTTTCATGAAGGTGGAAAGGGGTATGGGATCGGCCTATAGTGAGCAGTGACCTATTCTATGTGTGTTCCCACTTATGGATTTACACTGTGCTATTGCTTGGCTTAAACTTAGTAGCTACTTAGTATTGCAAATTTGCTTGCAGAAATTCAGAAATACATAAATGCTAGAAAAACTGAAAACATCTTTGATGGGCCTATCCTTTCCTTACCTTTTCAACCTTTGCATATCTCTTGATGTCGATCTCCCGTCGGCCCTGGTCGTCCAGCGCGACCGTCTTGACGGACTGCAGGGCCATCTTGCAGGCCAGCGACATCCACTTGCGGATGAACTTTGTGCCCAGGGCACTGCAGATAATCTTCACCATTTCATCCTCGTTGGACACGTCAACTGGTACACTAGAAAGGAAGGGGAAAAAAACAGAATGTGGGCACCTTCTGCAATAAAATTCTTCAGCATAAATTCAAGAAGCCATTATCCTTCATGGTAATTCTTATCTAGGTATTTTTTTTCAAATTGTCATAATATTTCACCCAAAAGTTATTGTACAGAGTAATCGATTATAAAGAGAACTGTCTGTCTGTCCTACCTAATCTGGTCCCTCAGTACGTCCAGGCTGTCCTCCAGTGCTTGTCTGTAGGCGCTGATGATCTGTGTGGGGTGCATCTGCTGTTCCAGGAACGGTTCAGCGACTGACAGCATCTCTCCAGCTGTAAACAAGCAACGCATTCAGTACTGTGAACAAGGTTTTTCGGTTTCCATTGCTTATACTGTATCATAATCTATTGACAATTGTAACAAAATGATGTGAGGCTGTTATTTTAGTGGTGAAATTGTCAAGCAAATGAAAATGTCTTTGTGACGTACGGACTAGAAATTTGTGTCAGGTCTTTGTCACAAAGTAATCCTATGCCTAACTGCGAGATATTTTGAATAACTTAGATGGCTTTCCCAAAGAAATCATAAATTTTATTGACCATCTACTCTTTTTACTGTGACAAATACTGAAACAGTACCTACCCAAGATGATGACTGATGTTGTCCCATCGCCCACTTCCTCGTCCTGTGTACGGCTGATCTCAATCATGGACTTGGCAGCCGGGTGCTGGACCTGGATCTGTGGGAAAAAATTAGCAAAATCAAGATTCTTAAATCTTATTTATTTGCATATAGCAAATTATAAAACATTGATAACAAAAAACAAACATGTTGGGAGAGACAAGAAGTTACAAATACATAATGTAACATACAGTATACATGCTGTGATTTACACTTCATCTAATACAGAAAACCCAATTTTTTAAGGAATATGTATGATTACCTAATATGGTATTAAGCATTTGGATGAAACTGTAAGACTGCACTGCAAATCATGTAGTTTCAAAAGGAGCTAAAAGCTTAAAGTGAAACTTTTTCTGGTGTCTAATCTGGCTCTACATCATCACATGAAGGTTACCTCTCTGAGGATGGCGTTCCCATCATTTGTCATGACGATCCCGCCCATCGGGTCCATCAACATCTTCATCATGGAGCGAGGGCCCAGACATGTCCGGATCACATCAGAGATCATCTACGCAATACAGCACACATCAGATCATTAGACAAAAAAGATACTAGTACACTGCTGATTCAGAAGCTTGTACATATCTAGGATAAACACAAAATTATTGCCTAACGGTAACAACACACAAAAAAATTATACTTTTGTTTGTGCTGACCTTTTGCTATATCTTTTTACACCATTTTGAATTTGAAAACATGTGGTCATCAACGTTATGCAGTGAATTTATTCCAACATTTCAAATCAACGTACAAGTCCTGTTCTTGTACTTCTATTGGGAATTTTTTATGGTATTTCGTATTTCAAACACGATCCAAGGCATACATGTACAACAGTATCTGGTGAAGGGGAGGGGGGCAGAACGTTCTAGAGAGTTCTATAAATTTCTTGCGGTCAGTCAAATAATTTCAACAATTTCAACACATTTAACTGCTAGTATAACACCACAGTACCATAATCTGTATGCCGTTGGAATAAATGACTCGAAATTTGAACGATATGATGTATTTTTGGAGGTATGAAAATGTGCAGTCATGGAGACCATGTGCTTGCGGGATGACAATCTTACCTTTGCCGCTTTCACATTTCCGAGCTGGACTTTCCGTCCCGATTCTCGCTTCGTGTTCTGCTCTGTGAAAGAACAAACAAGAGTACATTGAAGGCGAACTCCTTAAGAATCGAAAGCAACGTTTTTATGACGAAATTAGGTTTGGAATACTTACTGAGAACCAAAACTGGACCGCCGCCACCCATCATTTTGCCGGTTTCTTTGGGTATTTCACTGCTACTGTTCGCTCATGCGCAGTCATGTTGATCCTGTATCACCCAGAACCCCCTGCGGTAAGTAGTGATCAAAGAGCCAGACGGACCTTATATGGGAGGCTGCATCTCTTCTTTTGTGTGTGTATTCAAGGACTGACCCTCAGACTGGTTCTGAGTGTCTATCAAAATTTGCCGTTCAGCCAAAAAGTCAGTGGATGCATATCGGAAGAATTTGTGCACCTTTACGTTAACCGTTTTGCAACTGTATGTTTTGACGGGCGGGCTGGACAATCGGATTTTTCGAATTCATTTGGGGTTTGTTCCAGTCATAACGTTAAGCATGATCTCTGGTCAGGTTTGAAACTGTCGCACGATCGCGACCAAGTTTTATATTATATTGAACATAGGTAAAGATTTTATCACTGCTTACTAAAACGTTACGTACTTTAGTTTACCTCCAGCAAAACACAACTCATGCATCACAAAGTAGTTGGTGATATTTCACGTCAGTTTTAATGTTCAACCAGACGAATATGTATTCTCAATAAATACAAATGCAGATGCAAATATGTATTCTCAATAAATACAAAGGCAAATAGAATTAAGTAAGACTGCCAGCAGTCTATTCGTCTCTTTAGCTTATGTACAATTGGACCAATCTATAATAGTTATTAATACTCTGTACCATTCAAAGTTGGCTCATAATGAAGGTCAGCGTCAATTGTAAAACGTATAGATCTAGATAATCATAATTACCTGAGTGGAATGTATATAATAACATCACAGGCATAGTTGATATTCTAATGTACTGTTTTAGGATCTAATGTACAGCCCAAAATGCTGGCAAAGGCCACTCTCTTTTTGCTTTCGGCACGAGCAGCAACCGGCTACAGTGTAGAGAATATTCAGTACGCATATCGAGATGACTCAGTGCCGATCGTCAGATTAAGATTGCAGCGTTTCTGTTTCAATGTCACGTTGACTAAAATGCAACTTGCAGAAACCTTTGTCAATGACTTAGCAACACAGAAACCGTAACCTGTGTTGATACAACACTGTAGCAAGGAATACATACCAAGATACCCGCACTCAATATTCTTCACGGTAGGAGAAGACAATTGAGTGAAGAAAATCCACTAGTATACGAGTATATGTCAATACCACATTCAAAACTTGTGTCTGATGAATCGCACAAGGAAAACATGAGTTATCTGACGAAATCTAAGATTTCAGTCCTTGAAGTCTGACAGTATCACTAAGAGCATCTAGGGCATTGCCTCTAGAGTATTCCAGTCGATAAAGTCCAAGTTGTTTGATCGTGTATCGACGCGCTTGGCCTGCCCCTGACTTTTCTTCCAGAACCCGTACGCCTTCACCTTTCTCAGGAAGTACGCCATGCTGCACCAGCGGCTCCTGCACTTGGGGCTGCGCTTGGTTTGCACGACCACGGGATGCCCTCCGTTGTTGTAGACCCCGTCTGGCGCCCGGGCTTTCCTCCTGGCCTGCTGACTGACTTTTGCTTCGTCCGGTCGAAAGCGGTCGTACTGCCCGTTGCTGCCATGGCGGCGGCGGCAGTGAGACTTGTACCTCCCCAGAAGGGAACGTCGCACTCTACGGTGTCGCTCTGCGGCCCCGCTGAAGTCATCTTCCGACAGGTCGAAGCTGCTCTCGTCGTTCTTTGCTTCACCCACGAGGTTGATGTTGGGATCTGCCTCGGCGGAACCGGAGCCGTAGTCTGGAAATGTCGTTTCGGCACTGCTGGACTCCCACAACGGACCGTCTTCATACAGGAGATCGCTGATCTGGACTTTTGCTGCAGGAAACAACAATAAAATAGACTGAGTGAGTACATGTACCTACCGAGAAAGAGTTCAAGACACAAAGTTAATAACTAACAAGAACTATGTAACGACTTTTAACGCGTATGACTTTTAACTTTTATGGAAAGTGCAAAAGTACAAGTTGTGAATTCTTAAAGTTCCTTTTTACACTTGTTCCAAGGATGTGGAGTGCAACCGGTAAGTCAGTCTGTCAATCCGTTAAAAATACCATTAACATCGCGACTTTAAGTTAACTTGGATAAGAAGTAAGTATCTCAAAATGACATACCTGGTCTGCTGTTGACATCCCTCCATAAACTGACGAGTACCACCAGGAAAATCGGCAATGTTGCGATGGTGCGCATTCTGCAGAAGTCTGATCTCTCCGTCTCACACACAAGTTGTCCGCTTCGGTCGTTCTGAGTCTCAGGTCCTGTTCTGTTGGCAAGTGGAGAAACGGACCGCTTTTATACCCGATAGTCGCGAGTTCTTCAAAAGTTTCCCAAAAGGAGTGGCTTTGATGACGCTTTTGGTGACGTCAGTAAGAACGCTAAAGTTTCGCGATCGAACGAACAATGGAGATGTACGTGCGTTCGTACCAGAGATGTGAACAGTGAATGAGTCCATGGCGTCAGTCTGCCTTTTTTTTCGTCCCAGCATGGCGGTCCCATCGCTAGCCTGTAAAGGTTGTCCTCAAAAGGCCAGTCTGTCAGGCCTTTCTGTAGCTCTGCACTGTTAATGGTGTGACTCACCCTAGCGGGTCGGGACAAAGGGAAAACTGGTACAGCACATGTTTCGGTGATTTCAGAGAATTGTTGGGGTTATTCATTACCATATTCCACACAACGCACGGCTTCTGCTGCGGGACAAAACGGACGTCACACAAGGTTTATGCGTCAGAAGACGTAATTTTACGGTGCGTTTGTATATGGCAGGGGCGTGCACGTGTGTGTAATTTAGCAGCTAGCCACCTAGCCAATGAATAACTACGTACATTTGTACACTACAAGCATGAACCGTCTTTAGGTCACATCTCTGATTGAGTCTGATATACTACTACTGAGATATGAAAATCTTGGACTATGGTAAATATCGTTTATATCTTCGACACCATCTCGGGTGTTTGTACTTCCAGTCTCCACCAACAGTAGAAATTCACTGAAAAGGGAAAATGATTTACCAGAGGAGTTAGTCGGCAACTGTCTAGAACGCGGCTATATAACTTTGCTGACAAATGCTTCTCTCTATTTGTAGATTTCAATATTTACAGATGTATATCCGAGGGCCACACAAGGGCCAGAACATTTTGACAAAACCCAGAGGAAAAACTACAGGCTTTTAAAGTTCAAAATCGCAGAAGTGCGAAATTCAGGACAATGTCCTTTCAATCTGCGGGGCACAAGAAACATGGAAACCTGTTTGGGAAGGAACGGAATGTTAAGTGACTCCCTTAAAAACCAACGGGAACAACTCTCTCCTTTTGTTTGTTTGTAGATAGGGATAATCAGATTAAGGAACTTCAACTCCAACGAACTCCTCTTAAACAGAACAGGATGTTGGACGGTCTTTTATGTTGGTAAAGAGAAGGCGCGATTTTCTACATGTCGCCAGTCGTTTCTTGGGAAACATCGCTGGGTTGTGATTGAGGTAGCGATCTCATACAGGTAGCGACAAGGGACTGTGAAGTTGCCTTAGGATGAAGACAATCGTTGCTATTTTAGGCCAGCTTTTTTTGGAAACCGATATTTCTGACGACAGTCAAAATCGCATTTTCCACGTGTATAGGGCCTAGGCTGCAGACTTCAAACGACCAAAGGGCGAAACAGATGTGAAAGTCCGTAGCTGTGAAAGTGACTGAAAAAATTACCACAAACAAGAAAGCTCAGTAAAGACGAAACTCTAAGAATAGAATTATCTTTTAGAAGCACATGATTAATATCTTTCGGCTCTCCGCTGCTTGCGCGTACAGTCGTCATGCGTGGTCCTACGTCACCTTACGTCATCCTCTTTGTTAGATGCTACACAATATAATTAGCATTCATGTCCGATGAAGTGAAGAACAGGCGCCCCGAACAAACCAGGAATAGCAGCCGACAATCACATTCACGTCTGGGACAAAATGTATAAATAGATCTAGAACAAAAGAAGCTGATTTTAGCTCGTGAAGTAACCGGCCGGACATGTGCCTTCTCGGAAGGATACGAATTTGCCTTCCAAGATGTTGTAATGGTATCAGGCAGATCTATGGCCACCAGTTTCTCAGAAATAGGCCATGGCTGACCAAGGCCTTGTTATGATAGGACTAATGCAGCTTTTATCCCCTGAAATTCTTTTCAATCGTCAAACATTTTGAAGCGACGCCTATTCTTAATAATTGATAGCGATGTTTGTGCGTTTTGGTCTCAAATTTAAATGCTAGCTATAGGAGAATGGCGCTGTCATTTATTTCATTTATAACCTTTTAGCCCTGCTGGCATCTTCCAAGGCTCAAAAACCTTTAAAATGACCTAATTACATAGCACATAAAAGTACAGTAACATTATATTTGAAGACATAGCACAAAAGCAACAAGAAACACACAAAACACCTACCGTTTGCAATGTACATGTGTTTTCTGTCCTGTTTTATAACAAGTTTTCCAAGTACATACAACAGACCAATCAGAAAGATGAGTGAGAAAAGAGAAAGGGTCGGCTGATTCAGTCATGCATTCATAATAAGACATGCTAGTACAGTTCTCAAACATACGCCGCATTTAATATTCTTTCCACTCTAATTCCAAACATCTTCAATCTGAATTCTGTATCTTCTGTGGCCGGCTGGAAAAAAAATATCATGCCTTCCGCCACTTTGGCCTCAATCAACGGAAGTCTGATGAGAAACGTGAAGGAACGCCCACTTCACTGCAGCAAACAGTGGCTGCAGTACCATATCTTATCGCAAGATGTCTCGCCAATGCCGCAATGCGACGTCGAGCGTCACGTGACGCAAGGTGTCCGCCATGTTTGTATGTCACCAGTTGACTCGTTGACAGTTTGGGAAGGTGACCCGATCGCTGGTGGTATATTAATACCTTAAGGGAGTCATTAGACCGTGACTACAATAATAATGGTCCCCTGGATACCCAGTCTACAGGAGAGCTGACCCACACGCCATGAGAAGGTGACTAACGTTAAAACTATCGATCAAGTTACTTACGACTGTTACAAAAATTCTGCGGTCAAGGCGATGTTTTCACTGCTGTGTTTACTGGTCGTTTGAAAGGGCGAACGGCGACATCGTTAAACTTTAACCCGGTCTTTAACGCCTTTCATGCCTGTGTTGCTATTTTGTAGATGTAAAAGTTCCAAGCGGTCGCATCAGCAGGTGCGAGTGTACGTTTTAGCGAGCCATCTGCTGAACGGACCTTCCCTTGCTAGTCGGGCAGGACAGCGGGCCCGCCGGCGGAGCAACCCCTCCCCCTCGCCGGCTGACATGAGCGGAAAACAGTCCCAGGACGGGTACGTTAACAACGGCTTTTTTCTGTCTCTATTTAAACATATCAGGTTTGGTACGTTTCCAGGTGTACACCAGCCATCATTGAGCCAGACTTTTGAACTTCTGCGACTGTAAACAACAACACAACAGAACCACCAACACAACAAAACACTTTCAAAACATAGATAAATATTATATTACTAATCTCCCATTCTGTTGGGCGGAAAGCCTCTGTCGTGACTCATGAAAAGGTACAGAGTGACTCAGTCAGTCACTGAGACATAGCCATGCCAGGGACTGGGAGTATTCGTAGTCAAACCGATTAAATTTTTAATTTACAGTCTCGAACGAATGTGCCAAATCAGTTTCAAATGGCCTCAAATCAGTTTGTTCCAAACCACTTCTCTCTAAGCTGGTTTGAGTGAGGATTGATTGTGATTTGTTTCAACTTGTGTACCAACTGATTTGAATTTTTTAACATGAACATGGCAGTAGTTACTATTAAACCTGAAACTATCTGAATCATCAATCAATTTTCAAATTTACAATCATTTACGAACTTCGAATTCTGAAGTTGGACCAAGTTCCCATAGTTCTGTGTACAAAATTGGGAAATTATTGCTACTGGAAATTTTGGAATTCTAAAGAGAGCATATTAATTTTGATTTACACAATGAGGGTTGTAGTACATGATATATTATCTGTGTGTGCTGGGTGGTTGAACTTTTGACCGTAATAATCCCAGAATAGCAGTCTCCCTCTTGTACTAGTATGAGGATACAATTTTCTATGTGGTCCACATATAGGTTGGAACCTTTGTACATGATTGACTAGTGGACTGTAATTTGTGTGTGTGGAAAGTAATTCAAACTGGACAAAAACAAGTTCCACTTTCAAGGTTGTCCCTGAAATAGGAGCTTTACAAGGCTACCAGAGGTTGCTAGGCCCCTACTCACTCAGAGGTGACACGTTGTCACCCATATGTGTGCACAGTCACTGTATGTGTTTACAGTACTTTATTACTAATTGAGTGGATTTTGATAACTTGATAATGCTCTGAGAGGTTACTTATTCAAGAATAAGTCGTTGAAGTTGGGATGGATCTGGATTTAGATTTGGATTTAGAAGGTTGTACTGATTTATGCTTTTCCTAAGAACTTACAGGGAAGTTTCCACTCTTGAACTGATTTGTATACTATAGTAGTTCCCAGTATACACTGCATAGTCACCCAGGATTTTCCTTCAGTAATTCAAAATCACAGGGCAGTGAAGGCCAGTTGATCCAGGTATGAGGTCGGTTTGTCCTGTAAAGTAGTTTACTTTGTGAAGTTTGTTCAGTGTTCAGTGATGGTTTGTAAAGGATTAGTTGGTGGTAGTCTGAAAAGGGTAAGAAGAAGAGGCAATGTTCATGATGGCTGTTGTATGTGAATAGACTTATGTCCTGCTTGTGCTTTGTTATGGTGAACTATACGTTTGTAGGAGTCAGCACTTTTGAGACTTGTGTGGTGAGGTAGCGTCTGCCCCTGGGTTAAAAAACCAGTCTTACATTCTCAATTATGACATCAATTATAGATTACCAGTGAGATGTAAATTGATTGGTGCATTGTTGAACTGTTTAGCCATTGATGGGTAATGGGCTTTAATGTGTGACAATTGTTCCACTCATGTTTGTGTATTTTTACAGGTACAGGCAGCAATTTACCCCAATAAACTGTGTTGGTGAATGTTGCAGTATTTTACACCGTCACTAGGGGGCCTTGTTGTTCCAACCTGTTGTCCAGGCCAATCTGGAGATATTGTTTCCTAAAACAAGGACAACAACAATAACATTCTAACAGAGAGAATATTAGCCATGTATGTTTGTTGGCTATGGTTATTGCAATAGTAATTCTTAAGAAGGTAGTAGTAAAGACAATGTATAACTTGATACTAATAGAAGGTACATGTAAGTAAGTAATAGAATGTGATTTCTAGTTTCTGCCTTGTCTGAAGCAATAAGGGACTAACCATTGATGATATTAGAATGGATGGTGTACTGTATGTCCGGTATATAAGGGAACTTTTTTCATTGCCGTACTCATACGATATTCATTGGTTTAGAATTTACTTTAAGAACAGGCTTAGAAATTTTACCTCTATTCAACATAGACAAGACAAATAGAGATCATAGACTAGATAGAGTTTTTGATTCATCTGAATCCCCTCTCCACTATAATGGCTCAACCTTACGATATTAGTTTCAAAATTAGTTGCTTTGTTTTTATTTTCCAGACTTACGAAAGTTTTGTGTCTTGCCATGCACTAGATAAGCCCCCATACTCAACCTGTGCACACTAACACCTGTTTTGTATCATATCCCCAGAACACAAAAGTTTTAGACCTGTCCAAGAAGATTAGTGGTTTGTGAATGGCCATTGTTTGGTGGGATGGAGGTAAAACTTTGTACAAACTGGTCATGGAAACCTTCCTGGGGGGATTAGATGGATTGCAGGGAGCGATTTTTGTCCTCGACGCACGGTCCGACAACAAAACAGACTTTTTCCCTCAGATGTGCACTTGAAAGCCACTTAGTTCATTTGGACAGGTATTCAGAAAACCGTTGACTGTTTAAAGTCCTGTGCTAGAAGCCAGCCTGTATGTATGTGCAGTTGGCAGTCACTCCTGTCTGATGAGTTTTTGTACTGTTCAGGCCTTCTGATACCCCCAAAGCAAGCCTGGTGTTTTGAGAGACAACAAACTGGTCTGGACAGATTCCAATCCACTGGGTTTGGAAAAGTTCCATCTGTTGGAAAGAGCAGTGTAGCGCCTGGAAAATCTCTTTGTCTCTCTCTTTCTCCCAGGTTTGGCAGAAGTATGTGTGGGGAATGCCACTTACACCTCTGCTCTTTACACAGTCTATCTTCCACACTGATAATGTACTGTAAGCTATCTCTCAGGCAAAAGGGCCACAGTTTGGTCCACTTCTGCTGTGAGGGAGGGGGGAGCCTGCAAAAGAGGGATTTTCTATTCTTAGCACAGGGGGTCAGTTTCAGATTGATTTCCACCATGTTTGTCAACATACACATTCCCTAGTCAGCTGTTCATGGCTTCTGGATGGGGAGGTGTCTGTTTTAGTGTGATATAGGTCCTCTATTTATACACCAAAACTAAACATCATCATGTTGTGTCTAATCAATATTTCATGCATTTAATGCAATAAGAAAATTTCTAGTCTTGAAAAAAAGAGTATTTTATCCCCGCCTCAAGTAATTTGGAAAGGCTTAGCACCCACATGCAAATAGCCTTTACTTGCACTTGTGGTGGACGTGTTATAATGACAGCCCCTCCCAGCCCCTCCCACCCCCAAAGACAGCAGTGTTGGTTTTCCCTTTGATGGAAATTATGCAGGAGCCTGCCTGGGTCAGGAGTTGGGGGCGGGCTCCTGTGGCGTGTGTAGACTCCACTCACTTCTGTCTGTAGTAGGGCTCTGGGACAGTGATCACAGGCGAGGGGAATGGTGCCGTTTTACTAACTCTTGATCCCACACCATGGCAGCGCTGCGGAGGAGCGAGCTACAGCGAGCGCTGGTCCGAGCACGAATGTGAGAGACCGTCTTTACTTTTCTCTTAGGTATTGTCACAGGAATGGGCTTCTGTTTTTACAAGGGAGATTGGGAGACTTACTTGTTCCTAATGACCCATAGCTCAGAGCAGGATAGAGACCTGATGTCTTTGGATATAAGCTAACTCTTTTGGAACTCTCTGGCAGGACCTGTTTTGGCAGATAGGAGCATTGGATACATATTGACAGTCTACCATTGTGATGCTCTGTTCAGTTAACTGTTTCAGCAGTTACGTTTGTGGTCATTTCCAAGTCCCACGGAAGGAGTAATTTTACCTGAATTCTACTGTATAAATCATAGGTCTCCTGACTAACAAAAGTTTAAGTAATCTTCATTTAAAAGTGTACCATCCCTTTTCCCTAAAACTGTATGACAGTTGGGCTTAGCAGGGTCAGAGTTAAGCATGTTGATTGTCCGTCCAGATGGTGTTTTTATACCAAGTCTGCCCAAGGTCAGGGGAACATCACGGGCCATCATAACAAACCCTGGAAATACAAGATGCTTCAAATGTAATGGACTGACCTGTTAGCATTCTGTTTGTTTCCTTTTGTAGATTGCTAATAACAACAGTGTCTGTAAATTGTCTGAGATAACCTTTGATAGGGTAACTGTAAGATTTATGAGTTGTGTCTGGTTACAGTGGTTAGTGATATGATTAAGAAGCTATGGCATACTGGGATATTTTTTTTACTGTGAAACCGGAAAGCAGGATAGGACATTTTTTGTTGTTGACTGTAAAAGTTAATGAATTCGAACGTATATGTCAGTTTAATTTAATTTTCAAGTCGCAAGATTGGAAAACAAAACTTGATGCTTCCTTTGATATTGCTTGTGTTTTATGTCATGATCTCATGATGTTGAGAATGACATGTGGTAAAGGTTTGACAGGTTTAAAGGATTGTTTTATCTCTCTAGTTGACCTTAGGTTTTCATTCCTCAGAAACAGATAATCTTCTCTTAACTAGGACACTGAACAATATTGGGGAAAATATTTGCCATATTAAGTTAACAGTGAGATATGGTGAGATATAAAGGATCATAGTATATTATACTATGATCCTTTATATCTCACCATA